GACACGCATCCCGCGTTTCAGCGTCTAATTTATCCAAACCTGTAGAAATGGGCTGTGATTGCAGAGCACTTTTCAAAAAATAGATTTTAAAATACCAAACGGAGCCCATCTTGGAGATTATAGGGTTGTCTTCTTGAGAAAAAGGGTAAATTGCCCTGAATTGGAGTAAGAGGAGCAGACCACAGGCTGGGTCTTATTTGGGAGGATGGGTGGGAACTCAGTCCCCATCCCTTTATCTCCTTCCTCCCCCGTTTGTCAGCTTCCCGGGCGGAGGAGGGAACCATTTAGAAAGGCAGTTGTCAAGATTGTTGTTCCTCTTCCACCCAGCCCTTGTCTGTTAATTGTCAGGGAAGCAGGAGCTTTTAGGAGAAGAAAGAGAATAATGGCTACTTAGTCTGTGAGGAATTCAACAAGCTGTATTATCAACACCAGGAGGGCGGGTTACTTAGGGAAAGAGCATCCCCCTTCCTATTCTGTCAACCAAAGGGCAGCTTGCTGCGAGAGTGCACAAGGTTTCCGTGTATAGGAGGATATAGAATCCTAGAGTTGGAAGAGACCTCGTGGGCCATCCAGTCCAACCCCATTCTGCCAAGAAGCAGGGAAATCGCATTCAAAGCAACCCCGACAGATATCACAAAGTACTACCACCTCACCTGCCTCATAGGGAACCTGCTACAAAACAGGAGCTTTTTTGTTGAGTTCCAGGGCCAGAGAAGCAGATGGCGGAAATAGAAGAAGGGCCTGCCCCAGGGGAGCGTGCCTGCTCCATCCATGTTCAACATCTACACAAATGACCAGCCATTGCCAGAAGGGACAGAGAGTTTCATCTATGCTGATGATCGTGCCATTACTGCTCAAGCAGAGAGCTTTGAGATGGTTGAACAGAAACTCTCCGAAGCTCTAGGTGCTCTTACTGCGTATTACAGGGAAAACCAGCTGCTCCCTAATCCATCTAAAACACAGACATGTGCTTTTCACCTTTAGAACAGACAAGCATCCCGAGCTCTGAGGATTACCTGGGAAGGAATCCCACTGGAGCATTGCAGCGCACCCACATACCTGGGAGTCAACCTGAACTTTGCCCTGACCTACAAGAAGCACTGCCTGAACATCAAGCAAAAAGTGGGTGCCAGAAACAATATCATACGAAAGCTGACTGGCACAACCTGGGGATCACAACCAGACACAGTGAAGACATCTGCCCTTGCGCTATGCTACTCTGCTGCTGAGTATGCATGCCCAGTGTAGGACACATCTCACCACGCTAAAACAGTGGATGTGGCTCTTAATGAGACATGCCGCATTATCACGGGGTGTCTGTGCCCTACACCACTGGAGAAATTACACTGCTTAGCCGGTATCGCACCACCTGACATCCGCCGGGAAGTAGCAGCCCATAGTGAAAGGACCAAGGCAGAGACATCTCCAGCTCATCCCTTGTTTGGGTATCAGCCAGCACGTCAACAACTTAAATCTAGAAATAGTTTTCTAAGATGTACAGAGACACTCGATGGAACACCCCAGCAAGCGAGAGTCCAAAAGTGGCGGGCTCAAACCCAGAACCTCAACCAATGGCTGATACCGAATGAGAGACTCCCCCCTGGGCACACAGAGGACGGGGCGACTTGGAAGGCGCTGAGCAGACTGCGCTCTGGCACCACGAGATGCAGAGCCAACGTTCAGAAATGGGGCCGCAAAGTGGAATCCACGACATGCGAGTGTGGAGAAGAGCAAACCACTGACCACCTTCTGCAATGCCCCCTGAGCCCTGCCACATGATGCACCAGGGAGGACCTTCTTGCGGCAACACCAGAGGCACTCCAAGGGGTCAGATACTGGTCAAAGGACATTTAATCAACTACCAAACTTGCAAACTCTGTGTATTGTCTGTCTGTTTGTTTTGTTACGTTAGAAATGTAATACAATTGACTGGTTGCCCTGACATGACAAATAAAATAACCCCGACAGATGGCCATCCAGCCTCTGCTTAAAAGCCTCCAAAGAAGTAGCCTCCACCACACTCCGGGGCAGAGAGTTCCACTGCTGAACAGCTCTCACAGTCAGGAAGTTCTTCCTAATGTTCAGGTGGAATCTCCTTTCTTATAGTTTGAAGCCATTGCTCCATTGCGTCCTAGACTCCAAGGCAGCAGAAAGGAAGCTTGCTCCCTCCTCCCTATGACATCCCCTCACATCTTTATCCATGGCCCTCATCATGTCTCCTCTCAGCCTTCTTTTCTGAAGGCTAAACATGCCCAGCTCATTAATCTGCTCCTTATTTATGTATTTATTTATTTACCATATTTATATACTGCCTTTCTCATCCCGGAGGCGACTCAAGGAGGTTTACAATCGGCATAATTCAATGCCCTCAACAACATAAAATATAGTTAAAACATTAACATATAATATAAACTATATAAGAACAATAAAACACAAGCGCTCAGTGTCTCATTCCTAAAATCATTTTCCAGTTGCATCGTCCAATCGTTTCATGGATCTAAATTAGCCTATGACACTGCATCTGTGAATGCTTGCTCAAAGAGCCAGGTTTTAACTTTTTTTCCCCTATTTCCTTGATGAGGACTATACACTTTTGCAGAACGTGGTTGAGTTCCAACATGAGTGATTAAATGAATAAATTTTTTTTTTATTTATACCCTGCTATCATCTCCCTGAAAGGACAGCTAACTGCTTAGGCAGTTACAATAAGGCAAAATGTTAGGAGGGAGAGGGCCGATCTGATATCCCTAGGGAGAGCGTTCCATAGCCAAGGGGCCACCGCTGAGAAGGCCCTGTTTCTCGTTCCCGCAAGTCGCATTTGCGAAGGAAATGGGACCGAGAGTAGGACCTCGCCAGACAATCTTAGAGACCTAGATGGTTCATAGGGAGAGATGCATTTGTACAGGTAAGCTGGGCCGGAACCGTCTCCAGACCCTTGTCTTTATAGGACTTGTTCTCCAGACCCTTGATCCTTTTAGTCTCCCTCCTCTTTACTGAGTTGAAAGCAGGAAGTCACACAAGGGGAGCTTCTTTCAAGGAAGAACTCAAGCAATAAGGAAGTTTCCTATAGTCAGTAAAAAATCACTCATCTTTTTAAGAATGAATAATTAATTCCCATGACAGGTCCTGTCCCAGTGTCAATTTGGTTTTTTTTTAAATCATCTTTATTGAGAAAGTTTTCTATTTTGTGCAGATATAAAGTAGTGTAAAAAAAGAAAAAAAGGGGGGAAAGGGATAAAAATAATAAAAAGAAAAAAATCAAAAAGAGGGAAAAAAGAATAGAAAGTAAAAATAGGAGCAGATTGTTGTATGACTCCTTTGTTGACTTCCTGAGTATCTTCCTGGTGGTTTTTCCTCTTTTTTCTTTCTTCTCCTCTCCTTCTTCACTCTTGTTTTCTCTTCCCTTCATATTATTATATGTCCATTTCTTTGTTTCAAATAATGTATTACTTGATATACAATATAATATAATCTTTTATTGGGGTCCCTTTATTTTTTGTTATTAGATATGTTAACCTGTCCATCAGTGTCAATTTGGTTTTCTGATGCACTTTATCTCATTCCTCAGTGGAGATTAACCCCATTGTTTATCCCACCCAAGTCTCTCACTAGGCACAGCACTTTATCTATCTACTTTCACCCACGGGTTTTACAATTTTTACCTTTCGCATTTGGCTCAGCTCACCCTCGTTTATTCCTTGTACCATTTTACCCTTTGTTTTATTGTGTTATTGTCACTATTTTTATTGCATTACCATGTTATTGTTTAGCATTTTTGCTTGATGTTAATGCCTAAGTTTTGTATGTATTTTATTTTGCCTTATTGTAACTGCCTGGGCTTGGCCCCATGCTAGCTGCCCCGAGACCCTTTAGGGAAGTTATTTTTTGTATATTTTTATTTCACTCATTATGTTGGAACTCAACCACATTCTGCATAAGTGTATAGTCCTCATCAAGGAAATAGGCAAATGATTGGGTTGTTGTAAGTTTTTCAGGCTGTATGGCCATGTTCCAGAAGCATTCTCTCCTGATGTTTTGACTGCATCAATGGCAGGCATCCTCAGAGGTTGTGAGGTCTGTTGGAAACTAGGGAAATGGGTTTATATATCTGTGGAATGTCCAGGGTGGGAGAAAGAACTCTTGCCTGTTGGAGGTAGGCATGAATGTTTTGATTGGCCACCTTGATTAACATTTAATGGCCAAACAGTTTTGAAGGTCTTCTTACTGCCTGGGGGGAATCCTTTGACTAGAAGCCACTGAAATCCACAAGCATGTGGACAATTTCAACAGAAATGCATCGTGTTATCGTTATTGTTTTTGCTTATTTTGTTATGAGTTTTGTATTGTTTTGTATTATTGCTGTTATTGTTATTGTTGTGTTGTGGGCTCGGCCTCATGTAAGCCGCACCGAGTCCCTCGGGAGATGGTAGCGGGGTACGAATAAATTATTATTATTATTATTATTATTATTATTATTATTATTATTATTATTATTATTATTGAAAGGAAGAAACCATGAAAATGAACAAAATGAACAAAACCATGAAAATGAACCAGTTATTTAAAAAATCTACAATCATAACAGTAAATAAATAACAACATTCAAAATCGGGGGAGCTACAGACAAGAAACAATCAGGGCCAGCTAATCACCTCTCAACAAAGGATTCCATCAGCCAGTAAGAAGTTCTTTCTCCCACCCTGGACATTCCACAGATATATAAGCCACACTTGCCTAGTTTCCAACAGACTTCACAATCTCTGAAGATGCCTGCCATAGATATGGGTGAAATGTCAGGAGAGAATGCTTCTGGAACATGGCCATACAGCCCGGAAAACTCACAACAACCCAGTGATTCTGGCCATGAAAGCCTTCGACAAATCAAATTTTCATGTTTTGTGTTCTTCCTGACATGATACATGTACTTGGTTCAGTTCCATATGAGTGGGATAAATGAGACTGCAAGCCTCATTGTTTCCTCTTTTTTCTCTCCTTTGCAGATTCTATGCCCGAGATTCTGGTCTTCTGAAGTTTGAAATCCAGGCAGGACTCCTGGGCCGGCCAATCAACCACACGGTCCGGCGCCTGGTTGCGTTTACTTTCCACCCTTTTGAGCCCTTTGCGATCTCGGTGCAGCGGACTAATGCCGAATATGTGGTGAACTTCCACATGAGGCACAGCTGCACGTGACCGACTCCTCCCCTGTGCCGGCCACACGCTTTGAATATATGCATTCAATCATGGGCACACCAAAGCTGGACTTGTATTCTAGGAAACCAAACAGATGATGTACCCCTTGGAAAGAGGTAACCATGCTATGCATTTCAGCCCAAACTGTTTGGCCCTGAAGATTCAGCCAGATGGTATCGAATCTCTAATTGTTACACTTATCTTTCTGTTTGTGTGAATGGAACAGATGATCTTATAAAGCTCTCCTTTTTCATAATTTCTATATTTTATTCTGTTGGTACTTTTGGGGTAAGCACAATGACAGAAAGAAACCATTTATGTTTCAGCAAAGGTCTTAATCTACTCATTTCGTCTCTATCTCTGCCCCTTCAGCTCTGTTTTCTGACTGTGGGAGCACAACATTTCATAATACAGATAATCTCTTTGAAATGCTCCTTGCACATCCTTACATTATTTTTCACCCTTTGACAGTGATGGGCAACCTTTTGAGCTTGGTGTGTCAAAATTTACCAAAAACCTGAGCATAACTTGGTTGGAGTGCACTTTGAGAAAAAAAAACCCCATAATTTTGCAATATTTATAGTTTGCTGAGTTATGGAGTGAACAATGCTCAAACGTGCAGATGTTACATTTGTAGAGCCTTTTACAAATTTAAGGATGGAATTAGATTGGCTCTTATAAGGTGTATTTCTCTGTATGTGGCCGCATGTGTCTGCGTGTCATCAAAAATAGCCATGCGTGTCAGTGCTGACACGCATGTTATAGGTTCACTATCACGGCCCTATGACATGCTGCCCCTTAAGCTTCCCCACATCCCAAGGGCTGCTAATGTTCAAGGGTGGTTTGTGCAGAGGTGAGAGAATTCTGTTTGCCAATCACCAAAGAAGCAAAAGTGAGGCCCATCGTACTATTGCAGCTGCACAGTATCTGCCGGTAACTGGTATAAGCACATAATGATGCGGTCATTAATGTATCCTAGTTACCAAAAGCACTACAGGAAAGGGCTAAGCTTTCTTAAAGCCATTGGTCATTGATCAAAGCAGAAAGCCACCTCTCTCTCTCTCTCTCTCCATCAGCTTCCAAATATATTGAAGTGCAGGATATTCTGTACATGAAATGCACACTTCTTTATGTTTTATCTCCGATTTCGCTGCCTTGAGGATCCATTTCAATCATACTCTACCAGTTCTGAGTTGGAGGCAAAGTCATGTATTGGGATATAAGGCCCTGATTGAGTTGACAAGAATTATGCTGTAGCTCTTTTAATTTTGAAAGAACATTGTAGGCAGCAGAGGTATCTTTGCAAACGAGTCACTCCATGGGCATTTGGATTATGGTATGAGTCCCAATCACCAAGGATATGTCTCAAGATCCCATGGATACCTGGAATTGGATAATAATGAACCCTATATTTTGACGCATATCATAGAGTAGCACTGAAGGACTTAGAGAGGTCCACAACCCCTCTACGGGTCAGTCCATGAGCATTTGGATTACGGTATGGCTCTCATATCAGCAAGGATATGTCCCAAGATCCCATGAAAAGGATACCTGGAATTGGATAATAATGAACCCTATAAAAAGGTAAAGGTAGTCCCCTGACATTAAGTCCAGTCATGTCTGACTCTGGGGTGTGGTGCTCATCTCCATTTCTAAGCCGAAGAGCCAGTGTTGTCCGTAGACACCTCCAAGGTCATGTGGCCGGCATGACTGTATGGAACCCGATATTTTGACTATATTTTGACCATATCATATAATAGCACTGGAGGACCTAGAGAGGCCCACAAACCCTCTACGGGTCGGTCCATGGGCATTTGGATTATGGTATGACTTCCAATCACCAAGGATATGTCTCAAGATCCCATGGATACCTGGAATTGGATAATAATGAATTCTATATTTTGATGCATATCATAGAATAGACTGAAAGACTTAGAGAGGCCCACAAACCCTCTAGGGGTCACTCCATGGGCATTTCCTGGGCAATCAGCAAGGATATGTCCCAAGATCCCATGGATAGGATACCTGAAATTGGATAATAATGAATCCTATATTTTGACTATATTTTGAAGCATATCATAGAATAGCACTGGAGGACCTAGAGAGGCCCACAAACCCTCTACGAGTCACTCCATGGGCATTTGGATTATGGTATGACTCCCAATCAGCAAGAATATGTCCCTAGATCCAGTGGATACCTGACACTGGATAATAACGAATCCTATATTTTGACTATATTTTGAAGCATATCATAGAATAGCACTGGCAGACCTAGAGAGGCCCACAAACCCTCTAGGGGTCACTCCATGGGCATTTGGATTACGGCATGAGTCCCAATCAGCAAGGATATGTCCCAAGATCCAGTGGATACCTCAAATTTGATAATAATGAACCCTATATTTTGACACATATCATGGAATAGCACTGGAGGACCGAGAGAGGCCCACAAACCCTCTATGGGTCACTCCATGGGCATTTGGATTACAGTATGACTCCCAATCAACAAGAATATGTCCCTAGATCCCATGGATAGGATATTTGGAATTGGATAATAATGAACCCTATATTTTGACTATATTTTGACACATATCATAAAATAGCACTGGAGGATCTAGAGAGGCCCACAAACCCTCTACAGGTCACTCCATGGGCATTTGGATTATGGTATGACTTCCAATCAGCAAGGATATGTCTCAAGATCCCATGGATACCTGAAATTGGATAATAATGAATCCTATATTTTGACTATATTTCGAAGCATATAGAATAGCACTGGATGACTTAAGAGAGGCCCACAAACCCTCTATGGGTCACTCCATGGGCATTTGGATTACGGTATGGCTCCCAATCAAGAAGGATATGTCTCAAGATCCCATGGATACCTGGAATTGGATAATAATGAACCCTATATTTTGACTATATTTTGAAGCATAACATAGAATAGCACTGGAGGACCTAGAGAGGCCCACAAACCCTCTACATCACTCCATGGGGATTTGGATTACGGTATGATTCCCAATCAGCAAGGTTATGTCCCAAGATCCAGTGGATACCACAAATTTGATAATAATGAACCCTGTATTTTGACACATATCATAGAATAGCACTGGAGGACCTAGAGAGGCCCACAAACCCTCTACGGGTCATTCCATGGGCATTTGGATTATGGCATGACTCCCAATCAGCAAGGATATGTCTCAAGATCCCATGGATACCTGGAATTGGATAATAATGAATCCTATATTTTGACTATATTTCGAAGCATATAGAATAGATGACTTAAGAGAGGCCCACAAACCCTCTACGGGTCATTCCATGGGCATTTGGATTACGGTATGAGTCCCAAATAAATAAAAATAAATAATCAGCAAGGATATGTCCCAAGATCCCATGGATACCTGGAACTGGATAATAATGAACCCTATATTTTGACTATATTTTGAAGCATATCATAGAATAGCACTGGAGGACCTAGAGAGGCCCACAAACCCTCTACGGGTCACTCCATGGGCATTTGGATTACGGTATGACTTCCAATCAGCAAGGATATGTCCCAAGATCCGGTGGATACCTGGAATTGGATAATAATGAACCCTATATTTTGAAGCTTATCATAGAATAGCACTGGAGGACCTAGAGAGGCCCACAAACCCTCTACAGGTCAGTCCATGGGCATTTGGATTCTGGTACGACTCCCATATCAGCAAGGATATTTCCCAAGATCCCATGTCCACAGTTCTATGGGTTGCCTGAAGCAATAAAGCTCTGAAAGTTTTTACTGCTTTTGGAATATGCAACATGAAACGGCATCCTTGACTTCTGAGCCTTCGTTTCTGGTGCTGAAATAAATGAACACTTTTGTGAAGGCACGTTTACCTCCTGGATTATCAACTGGAAAGTAAACAAAGCAGAATTCAAAAGCAGCGTCATTGCCTTGGATGAAAACTGGATTTTCTGTGAGAGGAAAAGTTCATGGCCACCTTTTATTGGATTATATGAATGATGAAGAAAAGTATATGTTCAGACCTTCTTTTTTTTGCCTCTAAACATTGCTTGTATTCTTTCTCAAACAGCTGTATGCAGTACTTGTCACACTTTCATTGTGCCCATCATGTCACACGGAGGCAGAGTTAACACTGGTAAGAAGTGTGATATCCTCCTTGGAAGGTGTTCTAGCATCTGCTCCACCTGAAATGCCTGTTGCCCTTTTTGTATGATTTGTGAAGCAGAGGTCACATTATAGCATACAGCGCAACACAACTTGATAAGTTAACTTATTGTAAAACCTTTGGAATTTGGTAGAGATCAACTATTACAGTATTTTTGGTTGACTCTTTACTTCCTGCATTTTATAGATATAGGTGACAAATTTTGGGCATAGAATCATGAATCGTAGAATCAAAGAGTTGGAAGAGACCTCCTGGGCCATCCAGTCCAACCCCATTCTGCCAAGAAGCAGGAATATTGCATTCAAATCACCCCTGACAGATGGCCATCCAGCCTCTGTTTCAAAGCTTCCAAAGAAGGAGCCCCCACCACACTCCGGGGCAGAGAGTTCCACTGCTGAACGGCTCTCACAGTCAGGAAGTTCTTCCTCATGTTCAGATGGAACCTTCTCTCTTGTACTTTGAAGCCATTGTTCCATTGCGTCCTAGTCTCCAGGGAAGCAGTAAACAAGCTTGCTCCCTCCTCCCTGTGGCTTCCTCTCACATATGTATACATGGCTATCATATCCCCTCTCAGCCTTCTCTTCTTCAGGCTAAACATGCCAGGCTCCTTAAGCCGCTCCTCATAGGGCTTGTTCTCCAGACCCTTGATCATTTGAGTCGCCCTCCTTTGGACACATTCCAGCTTGTCAATATCTCTTGAATTGTGGTGCCCAGATTGGACACAGTATTCCAGGTGTGGTCTAACCAAAGCAGAATAGAGAATGGGGAGCATGACTTCCCTAGATCTAGACACTAGGCTCCTCTTGATGCAGGCCAAAATCCCACTGGCTTTTTTTGCCACCACATCACATTCCTGGCTCATGTTTAACTTGTTGTCCACGAGGACTCCAAGATCTTTTCCACACGTCCTGCTCTCGAGCCAGGCCTCATTGTCCCCCATTCTGTATCTTTGCATTTCGTTTTTCCTGCCAAAGTGGAGTCTCTTGCATTTGTCCCTGTTGAACTTCATTTTGTTAGTTTTGGCCCTTCATCTCTCCAATCTGTCAAGATCATTTTGAATTCCTCTCCTGTCCTCTGGAGT